TGGATGGATGGATGGATGGATGGATGGATGGATGGATGGATGGATGGATGGATGGATGGATGGATGGATGGATTTAAGATGTTTTGACTATTAAATAAATGCATAATAAATGTGGCAGGTCAGCGATGAGGCATAACAAATGCGACATATGCCGAAGTGACATATATGTTTGTTTTTTTTCTTTTCATGGTGCTTTTTTTGACTGATGCAATTTATACTCCAGAGCGACTTATACGCCTGAAAATACAGGTAATTCAAAATAGTTGCCACAGCTAATCAGCATTATTCAACACAAAAATGCCTCTAACTCAGTTGGTTTTATCGATATTGAGCTAAAATTTTGTGTGGTAGTAACTGAAAATAATCCTTAACCCATACTCTGTTGTACGACATCTTTGTTTAAAACTTGGGCATTAACAGTTGGTTTGTTACAAAGTTAACTCAAAAACCACTGGTTGGATTTTAAAAGCACATATAAGAACATAATCATCAAAAAAGATGTACTGGTACATCTTTTTATTTTTTTATTTTATTTTTTTAATTTAAACCTTTATTTTACCAGGAAAGAAATCCATTGAGATTATTAATCTCTTTTACAATGAAGTCCTGGGAAATCTATTAACTAATTGACATTTGGAGTCATCCCAATTCAACATGGCTGCCACAACTAATCGACCTTTGCCAACACAAAAATGGCTATAACTTAGGAAATAATTACAAAAAAAAAAAAAAAGTGATGATAGCTGAGAGTCATCCTCAGTGCCTACTCTGAGCATTCTCACATCTACTGAATTATGGTTGTGGTGTGGCATGAAAAGTTGTGAGAAATACGAGTAAAGTAAAGTGCTATGTGTTGTCATCATTGTATGTTTCAATACAATGACAAAATTAGTTCTCTGCATTTAACCCATCACACCTGAGGTACACCCAGGTGGAGCAGTGGACAGCTATGTAAGCGCCCGGGGAGCAATTAGAGATTAGATGTCTTGCTCAAGGACACCATGACATGTGGGCATGGCGGTGAGTTGAACCTGCAACTTTCTGGTCCCGAGCCGGCTGCCCTACCTCTACACCATCTCAGCCCGGAAGGAATATATATACTCCTTCAAAGAAGTCTAGGCTTTTAATTTAAATGTAGGAAATATTCCTTACTTACACTTTCTGGGCTGTGGTAGCTCGGTGGTCACGGCCATGTCACGTAATCCTGAGGTTGCACATTCGAGCGCAGGTTGCAACAAGAATGGCATCCAGTGCTAAACAAAACGTGATTTTTACCTTTACTATCTGACCATTCTCTGCTGTTTTGTTAACCTTGTACATTTAAAATATCCTCACTCCAGTAGATATTCTTTAGTAAAATGCAGTGTCATGTAATTGGGTTTAAACTTCTTGGCCCACAGTTAAAATGTTTAAGGCTGAGAGGTAAAGCTTGGGATGCCTTCAAAAATAAGAAATGGTCTTGGCAGGTTTGGTTGCATTACTTTAATTTTGCCATTGAGAGCAGCTGCGCGCCTGCCAGTTTCAGACAAAACTCCAGATTGATCATCAGAGCTGGATGGTCTGTGGACCGTCTACAGCACTCTGTCTCATTTAAAGCCAACTTATTCAAACGTTTAAAGGTTTTAGCCAGGGTTTACTAATTTTTGTCAAAGTTTAATGATCAAACTGTCATCCAGATGAAGTCGTATTTAACACTGCTGGGGCTGCAACCTTCCAGTGTTTCCTGCAAACTGTTTCACTGGTGCTTTGCGTCAGCGTATTAGTCACTGCCGTCTTCTTTTCCCGTGACCTTCGGTGATGTATTGCTTTCATTATCTGCTGATGTACTTGGGAAGTTCATTATGCAGTGTTTTGATATTGTGTTGCTGTCTTTCTGTGTGCTTGGCTTCGCTCCAGGTGTGAGGAACGAGCGCGTGGACGAGCTGCACGTCTTCCTGTTGGTTTGTGGCCTCAGAAGAGTCAAGGACCCGCTGTATTTGGTGGAGGTTTTTTCAGGTTTAACTTGAAATGTGTTTGTTTTTTTCTTACAATTTTAGTGATGATTGCACTGGAAGGGAAAACAGAAACTGCACATAGTTAATTAAAATGTGATGAGCAAACAATTTACGTCTAAATTTTGAACTCCCAGAGTAACCTGCGTTGGAGGAGATGTTCCCACTAATAACAAACATAGAAGAGCTCTACCATTGACTTATCTGTGTGAAATTTTATGTAAAAGCACAAAGAGACTATGTCGTCACTTTTGTTGCATTTTTGATAATGAATATTCCACATATGTATAAATCCAGCCGTGAGACTGGTATTGATTGATTTATTGCCTTTTTCTCCCCTCATCTTTTTTTCACAGTGCACAGTTATGGTAATAAAGCAGCACTAGATGGCGTCAGAATGTATAATAATGTCTAAATACGCCACATAATGCTTCTCACATGCTGTTTCTTGGAATTAGGCTGCACAGATCCCATTAAAAACCAAAAGCCATATGGTGCCTGTAGACTGTACACTTTGAAGATTTTTATGAAAATGTGTCTTTACAGCTTTTGCACCCTCCAAATTATTTTCATTTACATTCCTTCCTTCTTTAACTGTGTCTTCCAGGTTGGCACTGCCAGAATCTGCTGAATATATTGGTCATTATTGGACCAAAGGTACGTCGTCATTAAATAACAAGTTGGCTCCTTTTTCCCTGACCTAAAAAGAATCTCCTGTGCATGAGTGTCCGCTGACATCTACCTGCCATGGGAATTCAGAAAGCCTCTAATTGGATGTAGCAGAGATACAGGCTTTAGGTGGAATTAGGAAGCAGCTCCGAGGAGAAATGCCTTCACTGTCAGCAGCAGTAATGAACCCTTTTTTCAATGTGTTTAAAAATGTGTTTATTGCTGTTTGCTAAATACTTCTGACCCCAGATTAACCACTGCCTTTGACTAATGCTGCTGAAGAACTCCAACAAAGAGATGTACAGTATCTCAACAGGTGCTTGTTTAAATTTTAGACCTTGTGTGTTGCCCAGCTTCTCCTCTGAAAGATCATTAATTGATAATTCAGCCTTTCTGAAGTGGGGACTTGTGCGAAAGTTAAACAGTTAATATCTTACCTGTTGTAGATAGGCCTGTCACAATAAATCAATTAATCACATGATAAATTAAAATTATCGACCTCATTTTCATTTATCAACGTGATCGCTTTTTCGTGTCTCTTCCTACTGAAGACGCTGGATAACAAAAGGCTCAACTCTGGTGCTCTTCACTGACTCCTCTCTTTCTCTTTTCTCTTTAAAATCCATTTTAACTGTTCAAAATCACATTTTTTGGATTGTTAAAAGCAGCTAAGCTGAGAAGCTAAGCTAACAGTCCGACCTCGGGGGAAAAAAACCTCTGTCTTGTCGAAGCTCCAAGATTCACGGCTGCAATCAGTGCCTTCGTCTAAAAAGTTGTTCTTCTCTGTAAAAAGAAGCTGAGAACTTGTTTACTGATTTTTTTTATTAAAAGTTTTGTGTGAAAAATGCTATGCCAAAGAGCTCAAACCACATCGAGCGTCCGTTGAGAACCGAAGAGAGACGGCCCATGTCACGTCAAGGGGCCTCCCTCCCATTTTTCTTAAAGAGACACACTGCTCCCTCACTATCCATCCTTCAGTTCAAACTGTCTTATACTGCCGTCCCGTGGTCGGAAAAAAGTACTACACGCCAAACACATTAAACATTTCTTCTTAAATTTGACAATAATTACTAATTATTGTCAAATTTCAAACAATATTGTTGTTTATCACAATAAATTCAGACACAATTAATTGCCCAGCAATTTATTTTTTTATCGTGACAGGCCTAGTTATAGATAGTTGCTTGAATTGCCCCAGTTTGAAGAAATGCAGTTTTAAGTTCGACAGGCCTGATGAGCTAACTGAGTCTGAACACAGCTAAGACCAACATCGACTGCTGCTGTCTTACAACTTCACTCTTAATCATTTCATAGCAAATCATGTGAATCTGACATCCCAAACCAGCCTTCCATTCTCCTCTGACAGCAACAATGCTTTGTTTGTACACACCAATGCCTCTATGGATATTTTCTCTTTTTTGGACCATTGTCTTTAAACCCTAAAGATGGCTGTGTGTAAAAATCCCAGTACTGTATTTTTCGGACTATAAGGCACATTTAAAACCTTTAATGTTCTCAAAAATCAGCAGTGAGCCTTATGTATTAATTCTGGTTGTGCTTACTGACCTCGAACCAATTTTATGTGGTACACGGTGCTCAAAAATCTGTCAAAATGTTTTAGTTTCGCTTAATGTGCCTTATAATCCGGTGCGCCTTATAGTCTGACAAATACGGTACATCAGCAGTTTCTGAAATACTCAGACCAGCCAGTCTGGTACCATCGAATATGCATTCAGAGCCACTTAAGTTCCCTTTATTCCACTTTGTGATGCCCAGTTTGAACACCAGCAGGTCACCTTCACATCTGCATACCTAAAGGCAAGTTTGCTACCATGTAGTAGTAGGCTGATTAGCTATTTGCACTTAATCATCTGTTTATTTTTTATCCCTGGTGTCAGACAACAAGGTATGTTCTGACTAGTTTTACTCAAAAGCAGCTCAATTAGATGTAGCCAAGGGCACAGACATCTTTCTGCCACTTTGTGCATCGCTACGCTTTGTTGATGTTTGATGAAATACTTCAGTGGGAGTGCAGACGTGTGATTCATCTCACTTTGAATCACATTAGAGGCTGTTTGTCTGAGAAATAAATAGATCTCTCTGTCATCAGAGTTATTATTGTTATTAAAAAATGTTCGTATCATCACACACTTTCTCATGTTAATTTGATGGATAAACATAAACCGTGTATAACGGGGTGAAATATCAGAAACTGTGAACAGGAGGTAGGATGAAGCATGCCTTGCACAGAGTATAATGGCGTACTTTAAATTCTCCCGCATAATAAGCACTAGCAGCACAACATCTGTCAAGAGGAATATTCAGGTCACTGATGTTTGTCAGCAGTGACACATCTTACTCTTCTTTAACTGGGCTCTGTATCATTTTGTACAACAGTCAGTTCTTTAGGTTTGCATAAACTAAAAAAAGAATGGTCTTTTTATGAATATGTTCTTTTAACTAGAGGAGAATATCGCAAGTCTTGGATTATGTTTGGAGTTTAAACTACAGAAAGCATACAATGTATTTTCACTAAAGCCAAATGGTTTCCCATTTCCTGCAGAATATACAGTGTCTACCACAGACTGACAGAGAGAAGAATAGATGCTTCATTGATACCTTACGGGAAATTGTTTTTGTCCCGACAGCAGTTTAAAAACAATAACCATTTCAATAAGATAAATCCCAGAGTGCACCAGAATACACAAAAAGCTCTCCGTTTAGATTCACTTTAATGCTGCAATCTTTAAAACAAATTAGATATAGACATTTAGGATCATAAAATAAGGGGGGGGGGGGGGGGGTTGCAGCTTGCTTTGTGATTCTGACCCAAACTACTTTGCTTTGACTTCTTATAGACAGGTTAATGCGCTCAAATCCCACATTGCAATTAATCAGATTAGCCTCCCACTCCATCCTGACCCCAATCTGTGAAAATATTGGGTTTTTCAACCAATGACTTCTTCATGGTCTAAACGATTAGGCTGTTGTTTATCTGTCTGATTAAGTCCTTGTTGGGAGTCTTGATGTAAACATAGCTTTACAAAAAGAAGCTAAACCAGAGGATTTATTTGTTCTTCTAATCTTTATATGTATCCATTTATTTTTCAGATTGATCCGGTGCTTACTGCTGAAGTGGAAGCTGTTGTTAAAAGGTAAAATTAAGTTATATACACAAAGAAGGTTGCATCCATGTGCTTTTTGTAACGTCTGTCCTCCAGTGGTGGAACGTAATGAAGTACAAGTACTTCGTTACTGTACTTGAGTACATTTTTCATGTATCTGTTCTTTACTTAAGTAGAGTTAAATGTGGGTACTTTCAACTTTTACTTCACTACATTTTACATTAAGTATCTGTACTTTCTACTACACTACATTTCTATAATGTGTTGTGTTACAAATTACATTCACGTTGCGGTTTATTTGATTTGTTTGTTACTTTGAAAGTAACCGATGGTGAGAGGGGAGCTGGTCCATTGAATCATTGTAAAGTGGGCAGGTAACGTTAGATCCACCTTCAAGAAGAGCTGGGCCAATGACGTATTTTCTAGTATATACGTCACTGAGCTGGGCGCTCCCACAGCACCACTAACACACCCAAACTGGATTCCACCACAGAGAGTCAGACAGATGATACACACCACCTATGGCATTATTGAAAGAAAGATTATTGTAAGATTATTGAAAGACTATTGAAAGATTATTGAAAGACTATTGAAAGAAAGATTATTGAAATAAATAAATAAATGTCATTTAACTCTGCAGGTCATCCCTGAAATTCTGACGCACAGAATCACAAGTCCAAGTGTGAACTGTGCCACAGAGTAAACACAATAAAAACATGTATTATCTGCAGCATTGTTCATTAAAACGGCTCAACACTATTAATGTATTACAGAAAATATACATACTGTAGGCACACTTAAAGATATCAGCGAGTACTTTTACTTTTAGTACTTTTGGTTAAGTATTTTTAAAAGCAAGTACTTACGTAAAAATGTTAATGTGGTACTTCTACTTTTACTAGAGTACATTTTTGTCTGTTTTTTTTTTTGTATTTTTACTAAAGTACTTTGAATCCTTTCTCCACCACTGCTGTCCTCCTACTCCCAAGTCTTGTTTGTTTCTCCCCTTTTTGCCAAAGGCTTCTATGACAGCAAAGACCTCTGCTGCAGGAAGCTGCCCTCTCTGGTTAAGACTTTTCCTGAACCCTTGTGCGTGTCAGACAGTGTCCTACCCTGAGCTCGTCGTCGTTGTTCAGCATCATTCACGCCTTTGTAGGAACTAAGTCACGCAGAACTGACTTTTGCCTCTGCGTCTGCAGAACGACAGGGGTGTACTTGGCGCAGGAGAGGAGCCGGCTGGAGCTGCACGCTGCCATGAAAAGTTGCTTTGCTGTGGTCAACAGCTCAGTTTCAGAGGGCATGTCAGCAGCCATCCTGGAGGTAAACCTTTTCAAGGCCTGCTGCTCATTAGATAGCGTGTGCTGATTACAGTAAAAATGAAGTTTCCTAATGGGATGCTGCTTTATCAAGGTATTTGCAGAGTTTGACCTCTGAACCCCTTTTAGATCAATCTAACCCACGTGACTCTTTAAACAGGTAATTTATCTGTTTGTTGCTCAGCTACAATGTTATCAGGCATATTCAAGGACTATTACCAGAATTAATTGCTTGACTTCAAGATGTCTATTCCTAAGTGAGACAAACCTCCAAATCCACTTAATCTCATTTAAACACAGTCAATTAAGAAAATCCACAGTGGGCTTAGAGTCTTATTAGTATGTTAGAGCATTTCTTTCAACAACATGCTGAGGCTGATACAGACAGGGAGCTCTGGAAGGGAACCAGAAGCAGAACAGCAGATTGGACAAGTCTTTTAGCTTTTTTTTTTTTTTTATTAATATGAATAACATGACTTTCAGTGACTTTCTTTCTTTTTCTCACAGGCAATGGATCTCAGGGTGCCTGTGATGGCAAGAAACATCCCAGGAAATGCAGCTGTGGTTCAACATGAGGTCACTGGCCTGCTGTATTCATCTCCTCAGGTATATAGTGTCTGACCCGGTTGCTGCTTATCTCAAACCCCCATAAGCTGCAGCCCATAAACTCACTCACTGTTTACTGAAGCGAACGCAGCTACTGCCTCTGTTTGTCATTCTATTGACCAGAAAATTTGTACTGCTACTGAGTGAGTGCAGAAAAACTGGTACATCATTGAAAACGTGTGTATGTCTCTGTAATAATTAGGACTGTAAAGTAGATAAATAAGAGATTTTGCATTGCTTTACATTTTGAACAACTACTTTTTTTTTTATTTCATTCCAAACTTGCTTAGATTAAAATCAAAAAGTGCAAACATTACCAAAAAAAAACATTAATTACATCATCATATGAATCAGTAAACCCTGCAGCAAAAGCAGGGTTTAGTTTAATCATTATAAAGTGCTTCGCAATTTGCCGTTTAATGACATTTGTTGCAAAAGGTGGCTAACATATGCTCCGAACAGTTGACAAGGGGCTTAAATGTGGCACTGTCAGAAGGCCATGCTGCGGCTTCATGTTGTTGTGATGACGGAGGTAAGTCCTCGCTGCACGTGTGTTTAGCTGAGCTACTGCCACGGAGGTCACACAGATGGCTGCAGCAACTTGGACCAGATAAACTATGACCTCAGCTACTCGATGGCCAGCGAGGGCTGATCCTTGGGCCACACTTTCACTCAGGACAAGCATTAAGGAAAGTGTCAAAAGAAATAAACCACCAGTACTCTGAAGCTTTAAACAGAGATAAAGCTTTTCCTGCCTGGCTCTGTAATTCGTACTAAGAGTGACATAATTATAAACAGTTTGCTCATAAGTTGAGCTCTAATCCTGTTGCTGAAGATTTATAGCTCTCATATGGCCATACAGAAGAGCGGTTTGCTACCAAGAGCCTCTTCAGACATAATCACATCACTTGAAGTGAAGAGTGGAATAGCCTGCTGACTGACAGCGGCTCAAACTTTGTGTGCCCATTGGCTCTCCGCAGCAGGAAACGTTGGCTGTCGTGATGCAGCACTTCAAGGCACTGTGGCTTCATTATGTTGGAGATTTCCTTGAGCCTGCAGAGCCAAACAATGAGCAAATAGGATTCTAAATGATGTCTGGATAAAAACAAAAAGAGTAACATGGGTCAGAATTAACGATGGTGCCATTATCCTGATGCATGCTCAATAATCCAGGTAGAAAAATCCAAAAAAGTTCAATCTGGTCCTCTGGACATTCAAAAAAAACAAAACAAAGCAAAAAAATCTAGAAACGTTTCGTCTCTCATCCAAGAGACTTCCTCAGTCTGAGGTGCTGTTTTCAGCTCAGTCTCTTAAACAGCACCTCAGACTGAGGAAGTCTCTTGGATGAGAGACGAAACGTTTCTAGATTTTTTTGCTTTGTTTTGTTTTTTGTTTTTTTTTAATGTCCAGAGGACCAGATTGAACTTTTTTGGATGGTGCCATTACTTTTTCTGACAAACCTGTGTTCCTATTTTTTTCCTTTAATGACAGATGATTAAACATTTGACAATAAGCTGTTTAGCTGTAACAAAACTAGAGATGCACGATATTATCGGCATGGTATCGGCCGATATTAATGATAAAGTTAAATATCGGACATTACATCAAAATATAAAAGATGCTGGTTTCGTATGACAAGGATGGCTGCAGAGCCAGCACAACATTATGACGTCACGTGCACCGTTGAGTTTAGATTTGTGAAAATTTACAAATTTGCACTGTTCGAGTGTTGTCATCGTGTTAAAGAGAGTAAATGTCATGAATAAATTTGACATTAAACATAATACAAGTTGAAGTGTTACATCATTTTCAGCCCCCTTTTTGCCATCTGCATTTGGTAGCAGGTCAAACTGACAAAGACCATGCAGAATAGTGTAGTATTTTAATTCCACAGCAGAGAAAGTTATGTAGTCTCTGTCAGTAGGTCTAGGAAAAAGTATTGGTATCAGTTATCGGCCAATTAAGTTTTAACATCGGCATATCGGCCCAAAATCCAATATTGTGCATCCCTACATGGTAAATGGTAAATGGACTGTACTTATATAGCTCCTTTCTATCTTATTTCAAGATACTCAAAGCTCTTTACACTACAATCTGTGCCTCATCTACCCATCCACACAGAACTCTACTAGATCTCTACAAAGCTAATTGATTAAATCATTCTAATGAGACTAATCAGAGCTTTAGATCACATTCATACACTGATGGGACACACATCAGAGGCTATGAGGGGTTCAGTGTCTTGCCCAGGGACACTTCAGCATGTGACTGCTGGTGGATTCGAACCCCCAACTCTCACATTGGAGGACGACTGCTCTAACCACTCAGCCACAGCCGCCCCCTAGACAAAACATTATTTGTTGTCCTTTTATTTTTCAGCAAATGAGAGATGGAAGCTTAAAAATGGGAATAAAAATATCTGTTGGCCATCTGCATATGAACTTGGTGTTCTAAATCTCTCCTTCCTTTGGCAGTTTTCAGACACTTCTGATGTATTCACTAATCAGAGGCTTCTCTCAGTTCTGTGCTTGTGCTTGGGATTTTATTCTCTGCTTTAAATAAACATAATGTATCTCCAGGCAACCTCACTGGTAACGCTTTATGTGGCTTTTGGCTGTACATGAGACTGATTTATGGGGGTTTTTTTTGGGGGGGGGACTTTATCCTTTCCAGGAATTTGTGCACCAAGCTCAGAGGCTGCTGTCGGATCAGGCGCTCAGAGAGACAGTAGTAAGGAATGGAAAACGCTACGTGAAGAAGCACCACAGCCTAAAACAGGAGAGAGAAACCTACCAGCGACTGGTGGACGCCCTGCACTCAGTGTAAGATCAGGTGTTCATCCTTGTACTGTAAGCAGTGGACAACGGGACATCACATATAAACTTTGTACTTGTGGAACACTTTTATTATATTTATTTGCATAAAAATAATGTTATTGTTTTTATTTTATTTTTTGCACAGCAAGACTGAAATGATGCTGCAGGTTACTTTTAAACAAAATCATTAAGCAGATGTTCTTCCCTTCACATTTATGTAATTTATGCTTGAACAGTTATCTATGCTTAAAAAAAATAAAGCGCAAACTTTCTGTTAATAATTTGGTTTTGTACTGATTGATTTTGGCTGGATGGTGACCTACAAATGTTTGATAGTTTAATCATTTTTCACTCTGTTGAGACAAAAATAGCTTTCCTGGTTTTATGGCCACTCATTCATTTTTTATAAGGTGCAACAACGGGTTTCACAGATTCAAGAGCCCAGTAGAAACTGATTATGTTTAAAGGGCAGAGGGACAAAAGGTCCTTTCAATTTACAGTACAGAAGTTGGTTTTGGCAACACTGAGGCAGGGATGAATAAAAAAAACATTTGAAATTAAATAACACACATTTTCTAAGTTAAATCAGTTGTAAACCTGCACGTTGTTTTCAACTGTGATGATTCATTTAAAACTTAACACAGAAAAAACAATTGATCAAGGTCAAATCAACCTAAACTTGCAAAGAAGTTGGTTTAGAATAGTTTAATAGAACAATAGAAAATCTTTTGTAAACATACATTTTCTTTACTTATTTAAAACCAAACTTTTAGTTAAAAAAAACCTCTAAGAATGAGTTCCATACTGTATCTGGCAAATGAAGCGTTTGTAAATTAAACGACAATTATAGTACGTCTTTTTCTGTACATACCAGCGTGTGAGCGCACAAATGTACAGCTGTAGATCCACGTGCACCAAGAACATTTTGTGGCTTTAGATATTTTGTAACTAAATCTGGTCAACCATCTGAAGCATTATCACACACATTCACGAGGTATATACAGTATGCAGTGCATGTACATGTAAAATATGGGGGGCAGAAATGCCACAATGCAATAAACAAATAAACCATTCATTAGATGGGTATATACAGAATGCCCTCAGTTGACAAAACCTGGAAATAAATGCAACTAAAACTTTTTAAATGTGTCAATAATAATGTAAATTGGACACAAATAATATTTTGAAAGCATTATATAATAATTAAAATTGCATTTTTATGAACAGACAGACACTTGGTTCACAATTTTGTTAATTCTTTCATTGTTCTGGTTCTTCAGTGCATCATATTTCCAGTATGACGGTCGCTCATCAACAAGCTCTAACGTCTGATTGGTTACTCAGCGCAGCTGCATGAGTCGATGCAGAATAGAAACTGAAATCTTATATTAAGTAACTCTGTTAGAAAAGCTAATAATGTGCACAACATGTTTACGCTTGCATGAAGTGATGGAAGGCAAAACGATAATGAGATTAGTTTGAACTAAATAAAACTATCAGCGTTTCTGGCCTTGGGGCAGCACATTTCTTCGTATCTATTTAATTGTATAAGGAAAATGCTAAATACATCGAGTTAACTTTTCTTCTGTGTTTGAGATGAAAATGACACCAAAGTCAAATTAAAAACAATTGGGCTTCATAACAGTATATGTAGAAACTAAATAGTTTTAAAAAATGTAATGTTTGCAACACTGAAATTAAACATTTCCATTTTAACAGGGGTAAAGCCATTTAAACAGTCAAAGCTTTATATCTGATGAAATGTCCATACTCCAAATATTATTTATGTAGGAGTTTACTGTATAAAACATATGTATATTTTAAAAAATGAAACCGGGATGGAGGATGTTATCTGGCCAATGAATGGTGGGAGGCACCCCCTATTTTTGTTAAAGTGGTTTAGCTCTGGATGTGAAAAGTATGAAGGAAAAATAGTCAAAGAGACGTGACTCGAACTGCAAAGGAGTGCAGTGGACCAAAAACGCCATAAACTGGCAAAAATTGTGTGTCAAATATTATGTCATTTACAATTTAAGTGCCTGTTTCCACATTATTTCTACATAAAAATGGAACACGTTGACAGTGTACAAACAACACATTCAGAATGTGTCCTATCAGCCGGGGCGATCCACACCTGGGCGCAATGAACTGATATTGTGCAAATATGGAGTGAGGTTTTTTTTCATGCCATGACATTATGGGGGATGGGATGGCACCTTTGAATAATGCTAGGAAATATGTTGTATGTAAAACAAAGGCTAAATACTAAGTAAGTAAAACTAGCTAAGAAAAACAGTCAGGGGTAGATTGATGTAGTTCTGAGCTTGACGTCATACTTTGAATCAGAGAAACTTGAGTCTTGTCCTGATGTTGATGGATATTTATGAGTAGTTGTACTCTTAACATTTTCAGTATAAACCCACAGTATCTCATCTAAAACCAAGAACTCACCTGCCTTCAATCTGATTTAGTGTCAACAAATATTTCCAGAAGAACACATGGATAAAACATTTTGAATTGTCGAAGAATAAGTTCCACTAAGGCTAAACACAACGTTTAGATGATTCCTTCTCTCAGCTCTACGTGATGTACCTGTCAGGGACTTTAGCACATTGTAGCAATAAAATCTAAAACCTTTCACAGACCTTCACAAAAATCCTGACATCTCCAAATAGAGATATGCAAGATCAAGGTGACATTTAGTGTTTTGGGTGGAAAATCTATTCTGAGATGGCTTTTAAAAATAACACATCAAATTAATTTTATTTTTTTATACACCCGTATGTTCATGTTCAAAAATGTGTGCACAGTTTTGATAATAAGGGAAAGGCACAGCTTTTATTATTTATATTATTAGGGGGTTCCACTGATGTAGCACATGTATAATTACTTATGTGAGTAACTGTTAAAATACTGGCTTACTAATGTTACTATATTTCACAGCTGTAGCCCTAATCCAGAGCCAATCTACACACATGGATTCTTTTGGTGGCAGTATCCATGTGTCGTGTATTCAGTTTGTTTGTTTGTATATGTTACTTTTTTTTTTTTTTTACAAAAATTTAGTTTGTAGTTCTTCATTTTCTGGCAGTTTAAAATATTTTCCACAAAGTTATGAGAGAGTTCTTACTGATGTTTAATTGAGGGAACTATCACTTTATGAAAGAATCCACTTCAGTCCAGAGCAATGGTCTCAACTAGACAAGTATTAACCATGCCCACTGACGATAAAGGGCAAGGCTGACAAATAAAATTCATGATGCACTGCAGCACAAGACCATGAACTGAAATATTAGGTAACAGACATTTATTAGATTGTAGATGTGTGTTACAGCCATTAAAGATAAAGTCATTATCTTTAACAGCTTTTTGCTTTTCGGGTGGTGGGGGTCACTGGTGTCCATATCCAGCAGTCACTGTGCGTGAGGCGAGGTACACCCTGGACAGGTCCATGTCCATCACAGGGACACACAAACGAGACAAACAATTCACACACTCACACCTAGGGACAATTTAGAGTTACCAATCAGCCTAACATGCATGTTTTTGGTTTGTGGGAGGAAACTGGAGTACCAGGAGAAAACCCACGCATGCACGAAGAGAACATGCAAAATCCACCCAGAAAGGTTCCCGGTCGGGATTTGGACCAGGGCAACATTCTTGCTGAGAGGCAACAGCTCCATCAACTGAGCCACCATGTGTTACATTATTTATGTATTTATTTTCTAATTTTATTTTATTATTGACACATTTAAGTAATTCTTTAATGACCTAAATTATTAGAAATGGCACAATTGTCCCTCTATGGTAAAAGGCCTTAGTAGGCTAAATGTAGATGAGGACCATTACAAAATCACATATTCTTGACAAAGGCATTGAGGTGATCAAAGTCACATCTACTGTACACATGAGGTCTGTTAAAGTTCTGTGTTATAACTGGTCCACTGGCTTTATTATGGGCACTTGAGGTTCCTCCCCACTATTGTCCTCCTTTCCAACCCAGTGGATGCCATGGCCGTTTTCTTTGGGTGGAAGGTGTGGCAAATGCTGGCGCTCGAGCGTGGAGAATGTGGTGAACTGAACTCTCTTTCTTTTGCTGGTGGGTGAGTGGATTGACTCACTTTGCATGGATTTGTTTCTGTTAGAGCCTGAACAGCCAAGTGGAGAATCTGTCACAGGAGCCAAGCAACTGGGCCTCCTGGAAAGAGAAGTGGTCTTATCAGGCCCAATGTCTATCACAGTGGTTGTTGTCTGGGAGTCCTGGTGCAACGGACTGCATGGCACGGTCATCACCAGCTCAGCGTCTGTGCCGAGCCACACCCAGTCATGCCTGTGCCCTGTTGGCTCTTGACTATGGGAGGAAGGCTTCTTGTGCCGGAATTTAACAACATATGAGATACAGTTTACTAGAAACACCAGAATGGCCAGACAAAAGACCCCCAATAAAGCATACATGCCAATCTCTAAGTCTGTGAGAGGTCTGTTAGCCATTGCTTCTTCACCACCAATTTCTACCACCGTCCCTTGCCCAGGGACCCCAACCTTGGTGGGAAAATTGTAGTTTACCAGATTCCCAGGAGCTTTCACAGTGCTAATAAAGCCAACATTACTCATATCTTCCACTATTGTATTATCTGAGTTGTATCCTTTGCTGCCATCTCTGGGGCTGCTAAAAATGCTGATGTTCCCCATACTGGTTGCACTACCAGCATTTTGTGAAATGCTAGTTTTACCTACTCCTCCAAGACTGCCACTGGCTATAATGGTTTTTTCTGTAGACTTGATGGTGGTTGGGATCCTCTGAACAGCGCTCTCCTCTTTATTGAAGTTTGAGATACTTGTAGGGAGAAACTGAGATGGCATCCCTAGCTTCCTTTTGTTGTCCAAGTTTTCCCCATCATTCCCATAATCACTGCTTTTGCCGACAGGGCTTTGGTCAAGGCTGCGGGTATTGCTCCCTGGCCGCCAAGTATTCACTTGAAATTTGACCTTAAGGCTACCGTTGCCCACTGCCACTATACTTTTGCGTTTGGACTTCTGACAGGCCTCACAGATGGACATCTCTACCCTAATCAGGACACCCTCCCCCTCTCCCTCTGCCGCCACAACTGGAGGTTTGCCCAGCACAGAGACCACTCCCTGATCTAGAGATGTTACTGTCATACGGTAGAAAGCTGGATCATAAATGTCAAGAGGTGTCTGGTTGCCATCACTGAACTGTATCCAGGAACTGACTAAAGCATTCTGTAAAAAAACAAGGGGCAGAAATTTTATTGCACTTAAAGGCTAAACTTTTTCTCTGACATTTAAAAAAAATAAAGAATGTTACCTGTTTTGGGTTTTGTAGCACCTCTTGAGTCATTGTTGTTGCCAAGATGGCCCTGCTGCTTCCTGAACTTCGTTGTAAGGTCATGGAGAGGCCAGCAACCACCTGGACTCCTAATTCTGTAATGCTAACTTTATCATCCACAACTCTGACAGTTGTCTTAGCCAAGATGACATCAGACAGCGGCGAAAACACCTGTCACAAAATTTAATGTTTGGTTAAAACAATTAGTAAAGAAGTCTTAGTTGAAATCAACTGGGTTCACATGGTTAAACAATTAAACTCAAGTTTAAATCCTAACTTCAAACAAGTGATGTTAAATACTGATTCTAAAGTTTACATCCAGCTACAATACAATCAGCAGATTAGCCTGTTACCTGGATGGATGTGGTCCCAAAATCGCGACCTGACAGCACAGTTCCTTCCTGCAGCTTTGCAATTCGAGTGTCCTCCACCTTCATGAAGTATCGAACCAACCTTGTGACGTCCGCCTGCCAATCAGGGCCCAGAAAATAGGCTGTAGGATCTCGTGGATCTTCCTGCTCAGCCACAAAATAAGTTAGCACCCGCACAAGGGCATGCTGAAGCTGTAGCATGCAGCCTTTGCCCTTCCGTTCAACTTCATCACTGTTCCAGGCAGATCTAGGATAGAAGCATAAAAACACATGTGTGAGTCACATCTGTCACACAGATAATGCTTTTACCTGTTTGACATCAATCAGGCAACCCTGTCTCTTTGCATGATTGGATCACACTGAATCATTTTAGCACCTTAAATAACAGAATTGTATCCTCTAAATCCTAAAAGAAATATTTTAGTGTCTATGAACTAAATGATATATCCGGAAATCCCACGTAGTAACCAAAGAGATTGAGACGATGCATGCGCTTCCTACCTTTTTGAGGTCAGGATTGGTACCCTCCAGCTTTTGATTTGGCTCAGTTCTGTGTCTGACAGCTCGATCTGTAGGGGGAGCCGAGGCATCCAAACGTTCAGTTCAAGCTGAGCGCTCAGGTAGCTGTAGGTGAAGTTTACTGTCATCTTCATCTTGCCTTTGGTCTCTTTGCCATTTACAAAAACATAGTCACATCTGTCTGACACCTGGGTAGAAGAGGACATAACACCAAAAGAAAGCCATACATCAGAGCATAAATCTCAACAGTTTTATAGCCTGGCTGCTATTGTTGAGTTTGTACAAGTATGAAAACTATCTGCATCAAACCCTGAGTGAATTTGTTGTCCATGAAGGAGATGTTCTTCATCTAACCAATGACAAAGAAATAATTAAATATTCCCATAAAAGTCAGTGTTTTAACAAATAGGCTGTTCTTACAAAAACAAATGACATTGCAGCAGTTTTGCGCTGCATGTTACCACAGTAATGTCAGCTGGCTGTAATAAACTACTGCGATGATCACCAGTCCGAAGCGTTAGGAAGAGGCGGCATTGCAATTTTATGTTAATCCAAATATCACATGGTGTTGTGCTGACATCAGTCCTCCACAGCCAAGCGCATTCATTACAGCTTAATTTCTAAGGTGACCTTTGCAAGTTTTCACAACTACTCAAAAGATCTCACAACATCTTGAGACATTTGTCAGGAGGGATTCTTTAGACCCATTTGTCAAAACCACAGAAGAAAGTTCAGGGGAACACCATGGCTTTGATAGGTACAGATTGTAAACACATTCTCAGTTTTATTTCTTTGAAGCTAAAATACTATATAGAAAATAGGACTTTTTTTTTTCAGAAGGTCCTCTGGGAGTCAGTCATGCGGAAGTCATTGCGTGCCATGAACATAAGCTCTAACATGACCACATCATGATGCATCATCCTTTCTACTAACTCACATATAATGCCCTTATTTCTACAAATGATCCACTTTCCAACTAAACCACCAGATTTAAAATGAATGCCACTGCAGCTTCTGAATATCTCCAGAGAATAGAAGGTGAAAGTTCGAATAATCTACGATATTGTATTTGTAAAAACAAAATACAGTACTTCAATTTTCTGTCTTCCCATTTATTTTTGTTAGTCTTATTATGTATCTAAGAATATCTCTCCTTGGTATAAGTTTGGGAAAAAAGATGTTTGTCTGAAATGGAATTAACTTTCAACACTAGCTAAAATATTAACGACTTTAAATCTAAAATATGTTTCAAAGACACAACTGTGACTATAGTTTCTGTGTGCAGCTAATGCAAATCATAGGATGCAGAAAATACATATGAATTTCAAAGAAAGTAGGTACATTCAACAGAGTTTAGTAACATGGGTTAAATTACTGTATTAGCGTATCAAAAAGTCCAAATATTTTACCAAAGACTCAACTTTATATATTTAAGAGAAGATTGTTTTTGTGCATTTTAAGTTTTCATCTTGCCTGTACTTTTGAAAATCTTTGCCTCTGCAGCAGATTACACTCTAGTCTTGCTTTCATTTTGTAGTGTGAGCTGTCTATTTTAGATAAATCCTTCCATCTATCACTCACAGATTTCATACCCCTCAGGCACAGCAGAAGAGGAGCGATATCTGAGTCAAGCTGGTAGACTAAGAAGATTAAAGAGAATGTTTGTGACTGAAGCTGCTGTTTGGTCAGCAAACACTCTGGGGGCTACAGTAAGCTCAGAACAAATACAAAGGCAGGCAAATTACAGGGTTGAAAGGGATCATTTCATTCATTTGAACCCTTTTGACATCCACATGTAATCCCACTTTTCCTATTACTGACACCTATGTGCACTTAATGGGAGTTTATTCTGCTCTGTTAATCTTAGCAGCTGTCTAAACGGATAACAAGACACATTTATGAGACACCGTTTGTTTATTTTAGCTAATTTGGGTCTTATTTTACCAATGAGAAATAAAGCACATCTAGAGTTTTGGTGCATTGTCAGTCACCTTCAAAGGCGAAAGAGCGATAATGTTTTTCGCTGTTTGAATGGAGTCGATCCAGTTTTAATCAACGTGAACAAATACAAAATATCCATATGTTTTACAGATTTTGAACTATATTTGTTGTGACAGTAGCTGAGAGTCATTTATAACATATATTCTGAGCACTGCAAATTGTCTTTGCTTCAGACTTTAACAATAATTGTTACAGTCAACACTCTCTGCCTGTTAGCAAAATATCTCATAAACCACTGATGAATTTTAACGACACTTTCAGAAAGTGTTCTATGGGTGTACATCTACAACTAACTTAACTTTAACAATAAAGATGGCCGCCATTGCTAAATCACTTATGTAAGCACAAAAATTACTTTTTTCTTTACTTTTTTTTCTTTTGGCTGCTCCCTTCTTCAGGGGTCGCCGCAGTGAACTAACTCGCACAAAGACTTTGGCAATTATTTTTACACCGGATGCCCTTCCTGATGCAGCCACAGACCACTGTGTGGAGCAGAGAGCTGCTATCTAGGGGGCACAGGGGGAGCAGATGGTGGGAGTTAAGGGCCTTGCTCAAGGGCCCAGAGTGGGGCAAATGAGGGTGGAGGCAGGTATGGGTGTTTCACCTGTCCTACCCACATTTTCATGTTGTCAGTATGGAGAGTTGAACTGGCGACCTTCTGATCACAGGCCCACCTTTTCCAACTGCTGCTCCACCACTCCCCTTCATAACTCTGACAACCCAACTGGTAACTGGTACAGGCAAAAGAGAGCACATTACTCCAGTTCTGGCCTCTCTTCAATGGCTCCTGGTTCACTTTCAAATTCATTTTAAAATCCTTCTGTATGGTTTTAAATCTCTGAACAGTTCTGCCCCCTCCTATCTCTCTGATCTGCTGCAGCCATATGTCCCACAGCGCTCTCTGAGGTCAGCAGACCAGATGCTTTTATTGGTTCCAGGAACACGTTTTAAGCTCAGAGGTGACAGGGCCTTCTCTGTTGCAGGTCCAAAACTGTGGAATGACTTACTGCATGTCAGGCAGGCTCTCTCTCAATGTTTTTAAGTCTCGTTTAAAAACTCACTTTTATTCCCTGGCTTTTGACACTGTGTGATTTGATTTTAACTTGTGTGTATTCTATAATGTTAGTCATTTAGTTCGTATCTTTACCTCTGTGGATCTATGTATTTTTTGCTAAGTCCTTTGCTTGTTTTGTTTATGCTGTACAGTGTTTTGGTTGGCCATGTTGCTGCTTTAAGTGCTTTAAAAATAAAATGGGGTATGGTATGGTATGGTGTGGTGTGGTGTGGTAATGGTATGGTATGGTATGGTATGGTATGGTATGGTATGGTATGGTATGGTATGGTATGAGTGCTTAAACTTTTGATATACAGGCAACCAATGTGTGCTGGTTTTGTACATGGGATCAAACGGGTGATAAAACAGTGGTCACAACTCAGGAGAGAAGGTAAAAGATTGGTAAACCATTGTGGTGAACTATTTGTTTAACCATCTGTTAAAATAAAAATGCAAAAGTGGCTTTTTACAGCTGGCCTTGTCACAATTATTATCACAGCATTTTCTTTAACAAACTCTCCAAATTGCACTCCTGTGACTGCATTTCAACGGGTGCGTAAGATACTCAATTGAAAGTAATTACTTGAGCATATAAATGCTTTGCACAATGCTCCTGAAACAAATTAAGCTATTAAAGACTGAAAAATGGTCTCTGAACATTAAAAAGTCAGGCATTTCAATCAATTTTTACTTTTCTTGCCACTCAGTCCCTTTCAATTAATGCTCAACAGCAAGTCCATCAATGTGTAAATAAACTAGACATTCATGTGGATGACTTTACTCTGTGTTCTTTGCTTGTGGACAAATTTAACAAAGGTGAAGAGGAGATTCTACCTTGAGAACATCTTCATCACTGGTGCTGCAGTCTGTGTAGTCAGATACATCTGTGATTGCTCCATCTTCCTCCACAGCTACCGTCCTCACAGGCATCACCACCTTCTTTCCAGTCAGCACAGCTGTGTTCAGGATCTCTGTGTCCTGCAGAGAAAGGGGGATAAAAGGAGCTGTAATCAGACAAGAAAATAACTACACATCCAGTCATTCGATGTAGTTTCACTTCATATTTCGTGTGATTCAGCTACCAGACAGTGAATATATTTTGAAGTTAGTGGCAATGGATGAAAGTTGAAGACGGTTGGAAACATAGGTGATGAAGGGTAGCTTGCTGACCTTAGAAGTCATGGAGTGATGAAAAGGCTATTCTCCCTTTGGGAAATTATGGATGAAGCTGAGTTAAGGCAAGGTGGTGACTGGGTCAGCACATGAAGGGTAGAGCTAATCTTGGATTTCTCTGCACAAACGTATTCCTCTGGGGGAAGCTGCGTTAGTTCAAACATGGCCAAACAACCATGGACACGGGCTGAAAATAACTCTTACATGTATGCAGTGTCGTCTGAAGTGTCCTTGTCCTTCAGCAGTGGATCTGTGCTCCTTGGATAGGAGGCATCATTGACGCAAACATTTACAAACAGCTGCATGGAAGGACAATTTTGAATTTAAGGGTTTTAGATTGCTTGTGTGAGCATAAACATAAAATCAGGCTGGATCTGCTGTGTCTTTGAAGTGGAAGTCCTGAACTCTAGTTCATACATTCTGGTTTACCTCCGACGTTAAAATTTAACCAACTACATGAAAAGCTAATGATCTACAGTTTTGTGATTGAGTGAAAAAAATATCTGACTCACTTGAATTTTCTTTAGCCAAAAGATGAAAATTCAGTTTTTTAACTTTCTATTGCCATGAATGGAAGCAGACTATTAGTCATTATTGTCCAAGGTTAGCCATTACAATCTTAATGCATCACAAACAATGATGAGTCCAGCTACAGGCAAGAGGTGGAACACCTGGAGAGCTGGTGCAAAGAGAATAACCTTCACATCAATGTGAAGAAGACAAAGGAGATGATTGTGGACTTCAGAAGGAACAAAAACACCTACACCCCCCTGAACATAAGAGGATCTGCGGTGGAAGTGGTCTCCAGCTACAAGTACTTGGGTGTACACATGAATGACAACCTCAGCTGGAGCAACAACACCACCAGCCTGATCAAGAAAGCTCATCAGAGACTCTACTTCCTCAGACGGCTGAGGCGAGCTGGACTGAGAAGCTCAGTCCTCACCTCCTTCTACAGGTGTGCAGTGGAGAGCATCCTGTGCTCCAGCATCAACATGTGGCATGGAGGCTGCACAGCTGCAGAAAGAAAAGCTTTGCAGAGAGTGGTGAAGGCTGCACAGAAGATGTTGGAGTCAGCCTCCCCACCATCACAGACATCTACACCTCCAGATGCAGGAAGAAGGCCACCTGCATCATGAAGGACCCCACTCACCCAGCACACACACTTTTTGCCCCGCTCCCCTCAGGAAGGAGGTTGAGGAGCATTAAGTGTAGAACCACTAGACTGAGGAACAGCTTCTACCCTGAGGCTGTTAGACTCATAAATCTCTAACTAGAATAATCACTGTGAAAAATCACATCATGTTGCTGCTGATCTGTTTCATGCTGCTGATGATCTGTTTCAATGTTGCTGCTGATCTATTTCATGTTGCTGCTGATCTGTTTCATGTTGCTGCTGATCTGTTTCATGTTGCTGCTGATCTGTTTCATGTTGATGTGTTCATGCATGCTCATCTGCTCACACATAGTCATGCTCATGTTAGTGCTGCTGTTTGATGTAATGTTTTTATGCTACTAGTACTTAGTGTATTTTTAGTTGATGTTTTTCTTAGTTCATATCTTAGATGTTATTACTGTTTTTCTTTTACATTTTATTGTTGGATGTAACTGGGACCCTGTGTACATAATTTCGTCCCACCACATGTGGTGCGAACGACAATAAAGAATCTCTGACTCTGACTTAAATATAATTCAAAGGAATGAGCCAACGATTGCACGGTGGAACAGTTAGTAGAGCTGCCGCCTCACAGTAAACAGGTTGCCGGTCCAAATCCCAGCCGGGGGCCTTTCTGGGTGGAGTTTGCATGTTCTCTCTGTGCATGCGTGGGTTTTCTCCGGTTACTCCAGTTTCCTCCCACAGACCAAAATATACACGTTAGGCTGATTGGTAACTCTAAATTGTCCCTAGGTGTGAGTGAGAGAGTGAATGGTTGTTTGTCTCATTTGTCTCTATGTGTCCCTGTGAAGGACTGGAGACATGTCCAGGATGTCCCCTGTCTCGCGCACAGTGTTAGCTGGAAATGGGTACCAGTGACCCCCACAACCCAAAAAGGAAGAAGCAGGTAAAGTGTATGTATGTATGTATGTATGTATGTATGTATGTATGCATGTATGGATGGATGGATGGATGGATGGAACCAAACAAACAAACAAACAAACAAAGGGGAGTTCAGGGTTTGTGGAGCCAGAATTGAGTGATTGATTTGTTAATCTGGTTGCATAGTGGAGCAGTTTGCTGATGCTGTTATCTTGCCTCAAGAAGGTCCTGGGTTTGAAACTTAGATATTGTAAGGCCTTTCCACAGTTTAAAAACATGCCTTACCCATTTGGTGAACTGATTATGTTTACCCTATACGTGAGTGTGTGGGTGCATGGTAGTTCACGTCATGTGGCCTTATGATGGATTGTCCAGGGTGGACCTCACCTCTAGCCAAATGACCATTAGACACCAGCTCCCTATGACCCCATCTTTTCTACAATTTGTACATGCAGATATAAAAGATGGATCGTAGATTGCATTTGGTGTAAATCTAATGTAAAGAGCCACCTTCAAAACATATGCTCTGTGAAAGTGACAGGAAATCCATCGTCACTATACCCTTTAAAATAAGCTATATGGAAAGTAGCTGAAAGTACTGTATAAAATCAAGAGGTTTGCTTCTGTAATTCTGTTCAGATTCTGACCAAACTTCTCCAAGAAAACTCATTAAAACCTCAAGAAATTGTAGAAAACGGTCCTATGTCTCCTTTAAATAGTGTCGAAGAATAAAATATTTGTGTAAATTAGCATGAAAGCTGTGTAGCACTGTATGGTGAAGTTCAAATCAAATTTAAAGAGACAGTTGGCCATTTTGATTATGCAAAAGAGGCAGATGGATATATGTCCCTCGACTCCCAAACTGGTATAAATGAAGCCGAGGTAGACTAACTGAACTCCATGCTCTGAAGGTTGTGTCACTATGGTTTTTGCCACTATTTTTGAAATACTGTCTCTTTGAGCCAACTAGAAAATCTCCTCATGTTTGGCCCTCAGCCTGAGGTCGGCTTCAACTCAACAAGCAAGATGAATCATGTCAAATTCACAAATCAGGATACTGCGGCATATTATAATTTAATGCACCCCGGCACTGTTGTGGTGGAAATGTAGCAGATAGGCTGTGAAATACTTAAAACTGTATAGACTAAAAATATGGTTGAGAATATAACCTTTCATATTTCCTGTGAGAGGCATATATATTGTGTGGTTGAACACCTGTAAGCCTCTGTTAATGTGTTAAAGTAAGAGGACAGTGGTCCAGGTGACAAATAACCAAAATTCAACAGTGTTATTAAAACAGCTGTAATGTTTAGTTGGGGAGATTATGTCATGGATTAATTATAGAGGTAGTGTAGCATGATAAAGAGGCTCGGCGCACCAAAATAGCAGCATACGAAGCAGCTGTTGGGGGCAGGGGATGACCACATATTGCACGCCAGAACGGAGCAGAACAACACAGAAGAGCAGCATCAGCTAGCCGACAGTCAACATCACAAGGTCACACTCTGCTCAGAATAGAACCCATTTACTAGACAAAACCGACGCGGATCCAGCCTTCTGCGTATGCAAACCAGGCAGGAATGGATCAGAGCAAAGTGCATTTCATGATATCTTCATGCGCCAATGCTCAAATGCAGTCAAAGCGTTGGCAGTTGTTGGAGATGCTGCTGTCGGTGTAATGTTGGTGCTGGTTTTCATAATGATTGGGTTTGACATTAAAAAAATAAAACCGTCATCCAACTCACCATTACGAGAGGAGCCAGGCCAACAAAGTCTCTCTGGGTTGTATAAATCCTCATGGCTCCTTCTATCTTGGCTATGGTTTTGGGCACAGATGGTAGCTCCAGCTTCCATATGATCACCTGACTGTCAACAGGACTGCTCAGCTCCTCAACCTCAAAGTCCATCTGAAGTACCTCCAGCAGGCTGCTTTCAAGCCTGCATTGGGAACAAAATGCTTTGGATAAATAAACAAGTAGATTCTTTTCCAGGTGTCTGAGGAAAGTTGAAAATTATTATTAGCACGCTCTTTAGTAATTGTAAAGCTTTCCATATTAGCACATACTATAAACAATACATTTGATTTTATAGTGCATAAAAAGAAAGTAATTACAACTTTAGATGAACAACAGGAACTAATATTACAGAAGTACAGTGAAAACTAACAGCTGATGTTTTACTAGCTTAAAGAACCACTTTCAGCAGCAACAGCTGTATTCATCTCCATAACCTTAATTCCCTTCTATTATTAGCATTGCTTCACTTATTAGCAGCCGTAGCTGTAAGCACAGCTCTCTTGACTTCCAGCCACAGCACATCTATAAGGCTGAAGATTCAAATTTCACTAGATCATTTCAACACCGTGATTTTTTTTTTTCCCCAATCTGATGCTAATGTACATCTGATGCTAAAGTTTACAACATACTGTACTAAGATTCTGCTACCAAAAAGATGGCCACACTCTAAAATACTTTGGGACTCAGTGCATTGTATACCATAAGATGCTGAGTCCCTGTGGCTATAAAACCAACTGAAATCGACAACCTTTCACCGCTGTGCTTGATATGTTTGGTTTTCTCCAGACATTTGCAGATGTAATGGTGGAGATGTGCATTATAACTAAACCACTTGTCTAATAATCAAAAATGCTCTATTTAACACAGTAAACACATTTGACTTTGTGATGCAATACACATGACTCTTGCTGATACAATAATTACCCCAAAATTCATTCATACTACTGTTTATATTCACACTGCTGCTTATATTACACTACCGTTGATATATATATTTTTACTAGCCTTATGTCACTTTACCTATACCAATATCAAGGACTTCATACTTATACTGTGCACATTCACTTCATATGCTGCTTTGCCACTTACTACAAATGTCAATGTCAGGACCTTCACTTCATTTCATTTTATTTTATAGATATACTTTTTAAAATGTTTTTTATACCGCCATAGTACAATTCTAAGACAGTATCATACTTTTATTATTTCATTTTATGCTTGTGTTTATTAATTGTTTTAATGTCAAATGGTTATTGTTGCACCAGGGGTCTGAGAGTAATGCAATTTCAACCCTGTGTATGTCCTGTACATATTGCAGTTTTGACAATAAAGTGACTTTGACTTGACTTGAAATAAATCATGTCAATTAATGGTCACATCTATTGCATGTTCTAACCTAAAAAAAATTTTTTTAATAATAATTGTAGAACTTTACACTCCTAACTTCTTTCTTATGAGAATGAACTTTCAAAAATGTTCGACTCAAAATTCATAGTGACATATTTTGAATTTGGCCCCATGGATGTGTAGAAATGTTCAAGCGGGATGTGACGAGCTGAGACGAGGCATGATCTGCTCCCTTTTCTCAGCTTTGAACAGGACTCATGCATCTTGAGGGGTTTTCACAGGCACAAGAAATAAAACCAAAACACACACGCAGTGGATTTCTTTTTGCAGACACAGCCTTGCTCTGGAACGTCTGCGAGTGTTAAATGTGAGTGGAATATAAGGCGGTCTAAGGACGGTGGTATTCTGTGCACCGAACAAAAGCAAAAAGCTTTTTGTAACTTATTGGAACTTATAATGGCCTCTCAGTGATGACAGCTGGAACAGCATCCTCCTGTTGCCTCACATTTAATTCTGCTTTCACGCTCCAAGTTTGTACTTCAGGTGCTTTTCCTTGGCGCGGTGTTGAACGACTAAGAAGATTTATTAGCGAGCAAAACACAATAAGCATGCATATAACAACATGGACTTTATCCGACGCTCTGCAGTGTGTGCATGTTATAAATCAGTGTCAGAGTTGTGCAAACACACACAGTAAGTCCATTTTACTGCACACCAACCACCTTGCTGTGCACAAACAATGTGGAATTGCAAATGGTATGTATAAATCCTCCAATAAAGTTCACAACAAGGCTTACAAAAGGATTTTCCTTATTAAGAGCAAGAAAAAAGATTGAGTGTAATTTAATCATTGAAGCATATTGCGCAGAGACCTGAGATTAAAAGATAGTAATTGCATTCTGGTCAAGTATTAGAAGAAGATACGATTGGCTCGCATAAGCATGTACTGCACATCCCCTTAAGTCTGCATTAACACAGATATTTATACAATAGGGGATGTTGTCATGCTACACCCTGCTGTCGTTCTCGTGAAGCTTGTAGGGAGGAATGATCAACAACCTCATCAGCTATGTTTTTATGGCCCGCAATCTGTCTGCGGGTTTATTAAGATCCAGGCCAGCCAAGTGAAGAAGGAGGTGGGGAGGAGAGGAAAAAGGAAGCTTCCAGTGTATCGATACACCAAATACTTCATGCGCTCACTAAAGCCAACAAGGCCAAAAGTCAAAAATGTTCACAAGAGGTGTGACAACTGACACTATTTGCAAGCACTCTCTATTTTGTCACTTTTTTTTAGCAGATTAGCTATATTAGGGAGGGAAAAACGTTAACCCACAAAGACGGGTTTATGAATGATGTAATCCACAACAAAGAGAGAAAATTAAATGAGGACACCGTACTGTTAACAACAAGCAGATACAATGTGTAAAGTGTGAAATTTAACATGTAGAGTCAAGATCTTTTGTATATGTGCTTGTACAAGTTATATATGACTTTATTTATAAACAGAATTAATGAAGGATTTTTTTTTTTTTCACCCCCAACTTTTATTAGCAGTTTTTTTCTTCTGAAACTCTGAAACTTGGCTGCAGACTCTTGCTCTTTTCCAGCACTGGACAGCATTCACTCACAGATTAGTGCTTTGGTCATAAAATCTTTCCTTGGAGCTGCTCTAAAGGCAGACATAATCTTCCTGTTTGAGTTCCATCTCAAAGTATCTGCTTTGGGCTCCACTGGCAAGCCTGAACTGCAACAAAGATCCATGAAGTACACAGCAACAACATGGCTACTGCAGGCAGGAGCCAACTCGGCAGTCACCTGACTGGTTAGTTCACGCTGATAAAGAGTTGCTTTAAATTTCTTAAACACTGAAAGGAAGAATTGATTAAAATGACAAAAGTCAATTTTGATTCTTAATTATATTGACCATAGAAGCTCTTGAATAGAAGCTGTAATAATAGTTGTTCACAACATATTCTTCCTTTGTGTCACATCACAAATCACAAGAAAATACACATACTGTACTTTTCCCTGTAAAAGTCACACCTTTTGTATAAATTTGCAAGTCCTGTGACTTATACAACAAAGTGACTAATATACATTTCCCCCCCATATTTATAACCCAATTTTTGGCTGAGATCTGATGATTTCATTCATTCTGACATAGAAAATATTGAACATGACCATTTTCAGCTACTAGAGGGCCCTCAAGTAATATGGCAAGCCAATTAAGCCATTAATAGGTAAAAGTGGCTATTAATGAGACACTTGGCTTGCCATAGAGATCACCTTCATCTCGCTATGAAACTCCTGGAGCAAACGTCAAATCAGCTGCATTTCGCCGCGTCGCTCAGGTGAAATGTAGCTGATTTGACCATTAAAGTGCATTTATTAAGGAAAAGTTCAACTGAGACACACTTTTACTATAATGTCGAGCAAACAAATAATTGTTTTTAGGTGTTAATCTTGTTAAATTTTAACCACATGCTCAGTGAGTCCTCCCTCTGCATGCTCCTGCTTTTGCAATTCGATTTTTGAAATGTAGCTGATTTGACCAATATAGTGCATTTATTAAGGAAAAGAGCTGAGACACATCTTTGCTATAATGTTGAGCAAACAAATAATTGTTTTTAAGTGTTAATCTTGTTAAATTCTTGTTAAAGTAATCCTGTGCATGCTCCCGCGGCCGCCTTTTTGTAGCCAATCAATTTTTGGCACAACACCGGCCCACGTTTCTGGGTTGTCAGCGATGACGCATAACAGATGTGACTTATACGGCAAAACAACATATTTATGTTTTTTTTCCTCTTTATTAGACATATTTGGGCTGATGCGACTTATATGGCGGTGCAACGTATACGGCGGCAAGTACGGTAACGTTGTTCTTAAGGTACGACAAAAATGCCTATAGCATCACTATTTTTTCAACACAGCAAAACCTTAGTTTGAAAACTGGCATAAAAGGTGAAAGGGAAATAAAAATTCCTTCAAGGAATGCTAGACCTTAATTTTGTTTGTAAAATGTAAAATGCTAGCAGGCTCGCACAAGTAATTAAAACAATGAGCCTGGTGGACGTGATACTTGTACTGTTGATGCCAGTGGTGCATGATGTGAGTGAACATGAGGGGATGCCATCTTTCTTGTTAGTATAATAAACTGCACAAAGTAAGGGGAACACAATAAGCTGACAATGTCTTTACTCTGTTTCAGTGAAGCAAAAAGCTGTTTAGTTTCATCTCCCCGACTTGTTGGTTGTTTAACAAAGGTGTTATTGTGATATAGAACCTGTCCTGACCATGTTTTGACGTATCAGTTCTCAGACTGTCATGAAATCCTTGTCGCTGTCCTTGGTGCTGAAGCAGAAAACGAATTTGTTACATTTTCTTTTTCTCTCTCTCTTTCTCAGCCCTATAGATCCACTAGTTTTAGATTTATTGTTCTGTGAACTTTGCACTGTAAGTATTCGCAGCAATACTGTCCCCTGAGACACACAGCTGCCTCACCATATTAAATCTTCTATTTTCGTATTACCCAGAAAGTATAGTAGAATAAATCTATCCTTCTCTGTCATGGTTGCTTTCTTACAATTTTTTGATAATGTTATAATTAGTCATTTATTTCGTGACATGTTTAGGCTCACTTTTATCATCCACTGGTTAAAAAATGGATTCCTTTACTTCAACTGAAGACCAATCCTGATTAAAAGGAGGCTACTCAGTTTTAGTTCTTTTAGACCTCACTGTCTCATTCCTTGATAATTCAGTTGAGTTGCGGTGTGCCTCAGGGTTCATTCTTTGGTCCTCTTCTAATCTACACATGCAGTCTCCTCTTTGGCAAACTTATGTATAGCATAAGTGTTTATTCCTGTTTTTATACAGATGGCACTCAATTAATCATTTTGTTTACACCTGCCATGACTATGGAATAATTTTCACAGGTATCAGTCAGTGCTGCCTCCAGCTGGTAATGAATTTAGCAGCTACACTTATTACCCGGGGCAAAAAGAGACAGAAATATTTCCCTCAGCTTTACTGGATCCATGTTAGATTCTGTAATTGGCTTTAAAATATTTCTGTCCCTAAACAAACAATGCATATTTATGAACTTAATAATTCCTTAAGCTCCATAGATAATGTACTACTACTAACCACGCCTAGGTTACTGTTTGTGACAGAGGGAGAACATGGCTTCTCTACAGTAAACTTCATTTGTTTCACAGAATCTAGGTACAGTACATTAAATCTCTGATTTCTGTCAAAGGGAAAATAGTCCTCTTGGTAAAACCTTTTGGCAAAGATTCTTCAGATATTTACAACATTGTTGTAGGAAACATTCACCCAAACCAAACACCTTTTATCTTTCTTGTAAAACACTTTGTAAGCTTAACATAGTCATAAAATCATAATGTATTTTCAGTTTGAGTTTTCTTTGACCATTCAGGGACATCTGTGCTGCTTTTGAATGATACCATCATGGAGGTAACAAAAAACAACCTGAATACTACTCCACATAGATGTGTATATTGCACAATGTCAACTGGAATATCAATTCTGCAGTATTCTCAGTACATTACACCACACACGGCTTGTGTTTGACAGTAAAGCTCAGTATCAAAACAGTCTCATAGTGAAACTAGTAGCAGGACTCATCAACAACAGCAATAAGTCAGCATAAAAGATGAAGGTGGATGAGCTGGGAAAATTATGCAAAAAGAAGAACCAACATCAGTAAAACCAAAAAGATGATTGTGAATTTCTGGAAAACTAGAACTGCCCCACTTTTCCTCTACATCAATGGAGCTCCTGTGAAGATGGTTCCCTTTATGAACGGTTTGCTCTCCTGCACTCAGATTGGAGACTGCACAGCATTCAGGCAAGGACCACCAGTGTAAAACAATGTTTCTTCACAAATGCAGTCAGACTCACAAACTGCCAAAAAAACAAAAAAAACATGATGGGGGTTTAACAAGGTTGAGTCAGATCCTCTGGATGGATTCTTCTTTGTTGAATTTTTTTGTCTTTAATCCAAAAGATAGACTCAGTCTGAAGAGCTGCAACAAACTCAGTCTTATAAGCAGCACCTTTGTAGATTAATCTAAATGGATTATTGAGCATTCAGCAGAACATGATGGAGGTGATTTGGTTCTTAACTGCTGCTATTTACTGATGTTTACTGGTCTTAGACGGATGACTATCTCTTTGCTTTTAATTTTTTAAGACATTTACTCAGTTATTATATACAACCCCAATTCTAGAAAAAGTTGAAATGTATAAAATGCAAATAAAAACAGAATGCAATCATCTGCAAAGCTTATGAACTCAATGTATTTAAAATGGAACATGGTGAAAATTTCAAATGTTTAAAGTAAGAAATAGGAAGAATTTTTTTTTTTTTATCTTGCTCAAAGTGGAGACGTTAATATTAAAAATGTATAAAAATAAATGCCATGTAAAAGAAACAGCTGGAGGAGCATTTTGCAACTAATTAAGTTAATTGGCCAGAGGTCAGTAAAAGGTCTGGGAATGAAAAGATTTTTAAAAGGCTGAATTTCTCATAAAGAAAGATGTTCAAAGTATAATCTACATAAAACTGTAAAAACAGTGGAACCATTTCAGAATATTGTTCCTTAATGAAAAATACAGATTTAAAAAAAACATCATCTACAGTTCATAATATCATCAAAATATAGAAATGTAAATAAATCTGGAGAAATTTCTGAGTTTAAAGAACAAAGCAGAAAGTCAATAATGGATGCCCGAGATCTTGAGGCCCTCTGGCAGCACTGCATCTAAAACAGGTCCGGTTCTGTTCTGGGCATCTCTGCATGTATTAAACACAGTTTACTCCGTCTCCCACTAATACAGGTTAACACATACGTGAACACCATCTACAGACACATGTGTCTTCTCTGTGCCAAAGTTCATTACAGTACAGTGTAAGCAGGTTTTAGAAGAGTTTTAGGACATTTGAACAACTAGAATCAGATAAAAATGTGACAACATCTCTACAGAACCTCCAGCAGCTGGTCTCCTCGCTGTGTGGGTGTTTAAAGACTGATGTTAAAGGAAGAGTAAGAAACATGGCCTTGTCACCACTTTTTTCAGATGCTGCCAGAAAAATCCAAATCACCAATTCCAAAAATTATACAATTTCTCAGAGTAAGCACTTGGTATGTTTACTATGTTCCATTATAAATGAAATATGCGTTTATAAGATTTTTATTTACATTTTACGTCACACCATTCACCACGACCCAAAAAGGAAGAGGAGGGTAAAGATAATGGATGGATGGATCACAGCATTTAGAAAACTGGAATTGTACTTTTTATTCTTTAATGTTCACATGTTGAGGCCTGCAATTCCATATTTTGTTCCTAATGGTTAAGAATGGCATTACATTGTCTTGAATCTTGTATAGTTATTTAAGAAAACCTAACAAGTCACCTCCTTACCTCTAAACTGAACTCTCAACTGATTACAGCAAATTGAAAGAAAGATGCTGAACTTGGAAAACCATCTAAGATCAGTTGTAGCCCAGTTTAACGAGATTAAATACTTAAAAGCCCAAAGATCTGGATCTGAGCTGACGAACCTGCAGATGTCTTGTAAACTGTTTTAATATAGCATCAAAATGGTCCACTGCAGTCCTTTTATGTCTCGTGTTTAAAATGTTTTACTGCAGAAAGGCTTTGCCCTGCACAGCTAGTCAGTGTTCAGAAGTATTACGAGTACAGAGAAAAAGTGAGCATTAAAGGTAAAGAAGGGTTTACAAAGGGTTTACAGGAGCATCTGCAGCCAACCTGTGCTTAGAGAGTATAAGAGCTGTCTTTCTGGGACACAGCACAGCTGGTGGCAGACCTGCTCAGCCCACATGGATCTTCTTTGGCTTCTCAGGTGTGCAGAATAAAACCTTATTAGCTAAACTTCCTCTGGGTTTTCTGGGTCAGTATTTATAATGAGATAATACAGTTGACAGCTACAAAAATTAGACACGCATGTATAATCTAACCTCACATATTGGGTGATGGGAAATGTAAATAGACTTGCCTTTTCCCGAGAATGGGGGCCTTTCTCTGACAAACCACAGCAATGGCTCCATCTGCACCCATATCCAGAGTGATGTCCCACAGTAAGGAGTTGCTGGGCGTCGCTGTCCGAAAGGTCACACCTTTCTTTACCGATGCTCTGTGAGAAAAATCAAAGAAATCAGAAATTAACCAGTGACATGCGGTGAGGGGAGGCAGATGAGGCAGTGCCACACCTGTCATCATGACAAATAAAATACTAACAATGATAAGAGAAAATACATTTGACCACTGACTGTTCTATATAAAAGTTTTACAAACAGTTTTCTGAATTATTTCAACACTTCAATGGTCAAAATCACAGAATTTATGCATTGGCTGTTCAAACACGAATAAATGCGTTGGGTGAGGCGGTGTAGTGCTCTGTCTCACCTATGGGGGCGCTGTGTCATTTACAAAATATGAAGTAGGCAGTTGGAGCATGCCCACTGCTGTCTCTCTTTATATCACCAATATACATGTTTAATTACACATGTGCTGCACATGTTGATGTTCTACAGTCTGTATAATATATTGAACGAATGTGTGTGACATTTTTCTTCTTTCTAATGGGTCATAAATGCACTGTGAAAATACACAGGGTGAGGCCGCTGGCCTGGAGATGAGTGTAGACTAGGCCAGCGGCCACTCTTTCAGGGATGAAGATGTTCACATCCTGGACAGAGAGGAACGATGGTTTGAGAGAGGAGTAAAGGAGGCCATCTTTGTGAAAAGAAATCGTCCATCATTAAACAGGGGTGGAGGCCTCCGGGTTCAACTGTCTCCCTCTTACAATGCTGTGATTGCTAGTATCACTCAGCCCTCTGTGAACAGTAAACAGCCATCAGTGTGCTAATGATCCATTGTTAGGCTGATGGTCCTTCTTGAGCATGTGATCAGCTGGTTTTGGTTGTCAGCAGCAAAACTGGTTGATCCACTCTGAGAAGGTGCTATTTAAGAGACTGAGCTGAATACAGCTCCTCAGACTGAGGAAGTCTCTCGGATGAGAGACGAAACGTTTCTACATTTTTTTGTTGATTTGCTTTGTTTTGTTTTTTTGAATGTCCAGAGGACCAGATTTAACTTTTTTAGATTTTTCTACCTGGATTATTGAGCGTGCATCAGGATATCTGTGTATGCATTATTATATGTTACACTTGTTTCCTGTATCAGTGTGCTTGACTAAAGACTTGTGCAATAAAATTTTTATTTAACAAATGGGCTGCTTTTTGCATCTGATAAACAAACTACCAGCCTCCCCTTCCATCTCCTGAGGGAGAAAAGAAGTCATGTCATTTTACCGTTATGAACTCATTATTTCTAACTCGCTGAAAGGTGATTAGTGTTCCTGGCCTCTGATTTATAAATGGTAAGCGTTATGTGGATGTACAGACATTCCCAGTGGGATCTCCCCAGCTTAAGCAGCTTGCAGCAGGTCAAACGTTAACGAGTTAGGCTTTCCTAAGAATTGCAAGGGGCCATGAGCGGCACAGAAGTAAAAAAATTAATAAATAATCTAACGAATTGCTATGCTGGTGAAACTCTGTATGCACCTCTTCTTTACTCATTTGTTTATAAGGCTCTTATAAAACCTCCTGCAAAACAAGTTCTTTCAAACAGTTAAAAATGAGGACAAAATAAAAGTGTAATTCTTTAGGTTTGATCCGCATGTAATGCTGGTCGTGGTTTATCTCCCAATCTTCAGGATAAACCCAAGAGTTGAGCTCCTTATGAGTCTCTAAGGAAGTGTAATCTATGATAAGAGCAGCAGCAATCTGAGCACTTCTCCTGCGCTTGGCTTTGGGTTTTAGTTTCTAAAATCAGACAAAGGAAATTACATCTTCGTCCCTGCTCGGCACAGTAAACAACGCACTGCCTCCTGATTAAATTCCACATCTTTTGATGTGCACTTTTTGCACATTTCTCTGTATTTACCAGGAAGAAAGAGTCCTCATCTGCTTATTTAGTAGATGATGGACATTTATTTGAACGTCTGCTGTGCAGAAACATTGTCTCTGATGACCTGCTGTTAACAGCAGGAGAGCACGATGGTTTTGGATTTTTCTCCTCTCGTTGGATGAATCCAAGCGTTTTAGGTTCCAAGAGATGAAGAGCTCACAGGTTAAAGGTTCCAATTAAAAAGGGATGAATAGTCTGTCAGGATGGGTGTTAGCTTGTGCCATTATGACCCTGGAGACTGATGGTTTCCATTCCACCTGCTCACTGCAGAGCCTGATTACTTTGATTAACACAAGTTCAGTCAGAGAGGGCAAGGCTAAGAGGAGAAATCATTAGGTGTAATGTATGGCTTATAAATAAATGGAAAATAAAAGACTTGGCAACAATTGCACACAGCTGAATGCAACAGTCAAAGTGCTTTTTACTGACAATAAAAACAGTAGCTTTAATGTTGTAACCATATGCAGAAGTTATTTTGTTGTCAACAACTTTGCTCTGATCAGTGAGGAGTCTTGGCGTGAGTGGATCTGCAGAGTTAAAAATCTGGTGTTGCAAAATGAGCCAAGCAGAGTTATTAAACATTTGATGTGGTCGCATTCACTCGCTTGAACTCGTTTTAAAAAGTGTCGCTGAAACAAAAAAAAAGAGGAGCATTTCTGTTAAATCTGCAGATGTTGTCATGGAGTTCCTCTGATAGCAGCGCGCAGATTTAACTTCACTGCAGAGTTACTGTAATTTGTTGTTTCGTGGGTTAGAAAAATGTGAAGCCATCCAGACTGTCCATGTCCATGGAACTGTGTCATGTTTGTTCAAATTAATTTCACAGCTTTCAGTCTTTGAGACCTTTATTTAACTAAAAGCCTAACGCGCCATGAAAAAATGCTTGTCACCCGCTGCCTTTCATGACAGGCTTTTAGACTAATGAAGAGAAACTATGATGAAAATGAGTTGTAGACACAAAGGTCAAACCTTGTAAATGACATTATGCTTAATTTAAAACAAAAAAACTGCAAGATGGATTAAGAATGACTCTCAGCTACTACCTCACAAAACTTTAGCTTATTATTTGTAGAACTGACTAAATTATAGTATTTTTTTGTGTTTTCTGGGGTCGTTTGGCTGTGGCAGCCAGTTTGAGTTGGATTGACTCCAAATGTTAATCAGTTATAGATGTGTAATTATTAAAATGTGTCTATTGTCTCATGAGGTATTTTGCTAACAGACAGAGTTAAGTCTAAAATTCTAAATAAAGATCTTGTGCAATCTGTCTGCTCAGAATATGTGTTGGAGATCAGTCTCAGCTACTGCCAAACTTCATTGTATTACAATATCTGTAATGATAACTGAGTTGTAGCTATTGTTTCTGTTATTTGAGGTCAGTTGGCTGTGGTAGCCATCTTGAACCTGGAGGTGTAATAAGCTGTTGCTTTACAGTTAGAAGGGCCTGGCTTCAACTCCTGGCTGAGACTTCCCTGCTTGGAGTTTGCATATTTCTCCCACAGTCCAAAAGCATGTTTGTCTATTAGGCTCTAAATTAGCTTTAGTGATAAACGTGTGACCTGTTCAGGGTGCAGGGTGTAGGCGCAGCTCAGAAACAAGTCGTTGTAGAAAATTATTGGATGAAAGGAAATTAGGTTTAACTCTGAACAGCAAATACAACATCAGAAGGAAGTAATTTCTACAGGTTCCTTCCATTCAGACACTGAAAGCAGCATGCGTGTTCCTGTCAGGGACTGACTGAACACAACATGAGGGGATAATGGAGACAACAAGACAGAGGAAGACACACAGTCTGCTTTGTATGAAAAGACACTGCATGAGGGTTTGGATCAAAGGAGCTGCATTCTGATCTGCAAAAACACAAAACAAGTAGCTGCATCAGCTTATCCACATGCAAAGCAAACTGGAAGTCTAGTTCCAATGATCTGTTGTAGTTTTGAGTACCAGTACATACCATACCACTTTATATATAAATCCCACTTTTATATATCACTTAAAACAGCAACAAGGCCAACCAAAGTGATGTACAGCAAAAACAAAACAAGCAAAGGACTTCGCAAAAATTACATAGATCCACAGAGATAAAGATAAGAACTAAATTACTAGCATTATAGAATACACACAAGTTAAAATCAAACCACACAGTGTCAAAAGCCAGGGAATAAAAGTGAGTTTTTAAACAAGACTTAAAAACATTGAGAGAGAGCCTGCCTGACATGCAGTAAGTCATTCCACAGTTTTGGACCTGCAACAGAGAACGCCCTGTCACCTCTGAGCTTAAAACGAGTGCCTGGAACCAATAAAAGCATCTGGTCTGCTGACCTCAGAGAGCGCTGTGGGACATATGGCTGCAGCAGATCAGTGAGATAGGAGGGGGCAGAACTGTTCAGAGATTTAAAAACATACAGAAGGATTTTAAAATGAATTTGACAGTGAACTGGGATCTAGTGAAGGGAGGCCAGAAGAGGAGTAATTTGCTCTCTTTTGCCTGTACCAGTTAAAAATTGGGCTGCAGCATTTTGAACCAGTTGTAAACATGAAATAGAGGTCTGACTGATTCCAAAAAGAAGTGCACTGCAGTAATCAAGCCTGGATGTTATGAAAGCATGTATTACTGTCTCAAGTTTACTTTTGGACAGTATGGCCTTCAATTTAGACAGTCGCCTCAACTGAAAAAAACAAAAAACAAAACAGGATTTAACAATCGTGTTTACATGACTGTTTAGTTTCATGGAAGGGTCCTTATCACTCCCAGATTAGTGACTCTTTGATTCTCTAACGGGTCTAGAGGGGAAAGGTTGATACCGTGGTTCTTGATTATGCCATTAGGTGGAAACCTCATGACTTCTGTCACCTTCTCATTTAAGAATTTAAGAATTTAAAGTCATCCAGTCCCTGAGGTCAGCCAGGCATTCAAGAAGAGGTTGGATAGAATGTGCAGCTGTGTGCTTCAGAGGGAAAAAAATGTGACAGTCATCGGCATAAAAATTAAAAGGTATGCTGTGTTTACGAAAAATAGCACCTAGAGGCAGCATGTATAAAGAAAAGAGAAGAAGGCCGAGAATGGACCTCTGTGGTACACCCCACTGAAGAGCTGCCAATGTTGAAATAACATTCTTGACGTTGACACAAAAGGTTCTGTCGAAGAGGTAGGACCTAAAC